TCTGGGATTCACATTCTTCTCAGAGTCAGCCATAGTTTGTTATGATCTACACAGTCAAATGCCTTTGCATAGTCAATGAAACACAGATAGACATCCCTCTGGTATTCCCTTAGTAGTCCATGGTATATTCAATATCCTTCTTCAGCACCATAGCTCAAAGGCATCAATTCTCCTTCTATTCTCCTTAGTCATTGTCTAACTATCTGATGAATAACAAGCGATTGCAAAGACCATGGACTGTATCAGACACACCTTAGTCTCCAAAATGACAACATTGCCCTTCAGTACTTTGGAGAGGTCCCTAGCAGCAGACTTTGCCATCACAATACGTCTTTTAATTTCCTGGCTGCTGGTGCCAAGAGTGTTGACTGTGGAGCCAAGCTGACTAAAGTCGTTAACAATCTAAATCTCTTCACCATCCATCCTGATCCTGCCAGTTGGTCTGGTGGTGAGAATCTTCGTCTTCATATTGAGCCTCAAGCCATATTGAAGGTTGCAGTCCTTGACCCTCTGCAGCAAGTGCTTCTGGTCCTCCTCAGTTTCAGCAAGCAGGGTTGTGTCATCTGCGTAACGCACATTGTTGATATATCTTCCACCAATCCTGATACCACACTTCCCCTCACAGAGCCCAGCCTCCTGGATAATCTGTTCTGCATAGAGATTGAAAAGGTATGGAGCTAGGACACATGCCTGTTGTACACCCTTCCCAGTTTTGAACCATGCAGTGTTTCCTTATTCTATTCTGACCACAGCCTCTTGGTCCAAGTATAGGTTTCACATTAGTATGATCAAGTGTTCTGGGATTCCCATTCTTCTCAGAGTCAGCCACAATTTTGTTATGATCCACACAGTCAAATGCCTTTGCATAATCAATGAAACACAGAGAGATATTCTTCTGGTATTCCCTGCTTTCAACTAAGATCCATCTAACATCAGCTACAATATCCCTAGTACCATGACCCCTTCTAAACCCAGCTTGGACTTCTGACAGTTCTCTGCTGCTGTACTGTTCCAGATATTTTTAGATAATCGTCAGTAGAATCTTGCTTGCATGTGAAATCAATGACACTGTTCTGTAGTTTCCACACTCAGTTGGGTCACCCTTCTTTGGAATGGGAACAAAT